ATCGGAAATTTCCATGAATTAAAAAGTAGCTAGGACACGTCGACAGCCAAAGACTTCAGTGTGTTTCTACGGTACTCTGTCAAACTTCTAGTAGTTAGTGCGAAAATGACTGTGTCACTGATCTCATATACCCCAAATGGTTATGGAAAGCACTACACTGAAATCACATATATCCTAAGACATAATCACCGCCATGTAATGGATCTTGCTGGTTTCATTTGATCATACATTCCAGAACTCAAACGGAATATTTCACCAGGATCTTCCTTATACGATTTGAACTTTGCTGTGTGTCAGAGATTTACAGAATACGTCAATACAATCGTGGAGTAACGGTAGCAGTTTGTTGTATCCCGACTCGTCAATGGCCTCAAATCCATCAAAGTACACAGCGGATTTCCTGATAACCCTACAAAATTCGTATGCGAATACTCTTCAACAGTTTTATCCGATTTGCAGTTAGAAGTGTTATCCATGGATCCAAAATGTTGCTACATTAATCTAAGTGCCAATAGGCTTGTTGCTGACGTGCAACTGTAAAATCGAATTACCCAAAAAGATGATTTAACTCGTATGTATGACCAAGAACTACAGCGATTTAAACCAAGCATAATCGATTGTCACCATAAATATTTGAATACAAAACCAAAAGTCTATAACCAGCTACCAGAGTATCAGAGACGACAACTAAATCACCTGAGACATAACAAAGAACTACTAATAACCCGTCCACATAAAGGGCTGATGTAGTCCCTACGGATAGAATGGAGCATACAGAGAAAATGAACCAAATACTGTCAGATAAAAATGAATTTTCTCAACCAAGCAGTGAAAGAAATAACAGAGAACAGATTGAGAAACATGTCAATGATGTCCTCGAAAGAATTAAAATGGAGCAGTTAATCGGTCATGAAATTTATGATCACATTCAACCGACATGATTAATAATATCAGGACTATATGGTTTATCAAAGATACACAAAGCAGGTCCCCACTGCGTCCACTACATCCCTCATACTATTCATTTACAAAATGGTTAGCTGTAAGAAAACAGATGTACCACCATTCGCCTCGTGATACCTTTCAGTTCGTCGACTGTATACAAGATATCAATTCATTTAGCAAAAGTATGCTCTTTCTTGACACTGAATCAATATTTACTAACGCTTTGCTCACTGCAATTGTCTGTCACATTTGTCAATACATAGACAAAAACCATCTGAACACCGGATTACCAACAGTTTGTTTAAAGAAACTACTACTGAGATACTTCCTTAATGTGCATTTTACGTTCATAGGCGTAATTTGCAGACAAAAAGATTGGATTGCGATGGGACCACCCCTGACTCTATTGCCAGCAGAGTGTTCCATGGCGAGATTCGAGATGGCCCACTGGGATCAACTATTGATGCTAGACATGTGGATGACATCTTCATTGTCTTTGATGATAATCATGATCTTAATCAACTACTACAGATATTGAACTACTGCCATCCAGCAACCGAATTTACTCCTGAAATAAAAAATGAATTTAATATTACTTTTCTTGTTGTTGAGTTTACAAAAGTAGTCGACGGAACTGTAAGAAGGTTCAACCATAGGAAACCTACATGGAACAGCCAACTGATAAGTTTCTACAGCTACATCTCAACTAACCGTAAACTCGTGGCCAACGCATATGCAGCCCTGATGTTCTGGAAGAAGAATTACACTTTTTGAAAAAAGTCTTCAAATATAATGGAGATCCACCAAGATTTATTGACAAGAACATCAAGCTAAGAATTCAAAAACAATAGGCGCCACACGTGCCAATATAAGAAACTTTACACAAACTTTGACTTCTAAGGCAACCTACTCAGTAATGTCCTAAAGAGGAGAATTTCCACTCCTTTAAGTAGAACTTTGTTCTCAGCATCGCTGAGAGGAGTGTTATTCAGTCGCTCATTGGTCTGCAGAAGCCTCAAGGACAAGGTTTCTCATCTGATCATTTCTATACTCGTATATCAGTTCACCTGTTGCTATGGATCCAGATATATTGGTCGTTCGACATGTATCCTGTCTAAAACGGCTCCAGAAGACTATTCCGCATGGCTGCAGGAAAGTAGTATTGGCTCTATAAGGAGTGTGATAATCGAACACCTTGTCAACACTGGTCATTCCATCTCAAGAAATGCCTCCTTCAAAGGAATCTACAAAATAATGAATAACCTGCCAAATCGCACAGTGTTTACAGTAATGTAAACATTACTGTAAACACTGTGCGATTTATCAAAATAAAATCTTATCTATAATGGAATTATACTCTACCACAGTGCCCAAGTTTTATACTTATATCAATAACCTGCCAAAGACGATACACTTTCGTCTCCTTTGCATTGCTTTAGCTTTAGCCATTCTGGTAGAGAAACTGGAGTTATGCATACAAAAGAGAATTATTCAAGCAGTTCTATTATCATGGTAACAAGCTTGTTGATTTCTACTCACTTGAGTTTTGTTGTTCGTTTGTTTTTCTAACTCCTTACAACTTTTGTATTTCGCTTGAACTCTTACATAATCCCATATTTTCCTTCGTATCTGTCTGCCACCTGATTGCAACTCATTTATTATATTATACAGCTTGTTACGTAACTATAATACACTATTTAAATTCTCTTATGCACTGACTAATATTAACAACTACGTTTGTGACAATTGATGACTTCTGTTTCTATCCTTTTTCATGAAAAGGAGATTGCATGTAAATGCGATTGTACAGCTAGAGGGAAAAATGAATTCGTCGAAAGAGTCAATTCGCTGAACTATATGTTGCTTTTTATTGACTATTTTGTACTCATATCTCCTGTAGTACAGCTATGCTATTTCAGTGAAAATACTTCTCTGCACCCGCTGAGGTCTGGAACCAGGACTACTCAGTTACAAGGTGAACTCGTAGACCATTATTCCACTGGGACCCGATAACACTGCCCATGAATTCCGCTTTCAGCCAGTTTTCTAAATGGTCTATGAGCTCATCTTGTAGCTGGAAGGACCTGGATTCGAACCCTGGCAGTGGGTGCATACTGCTGAAGAGTCTCAAACTAGGACCAAGACGGCTGTTCAATACTCCCCGGAATTTCACTAGTTCTCTAATGGATTTCAACCCTTGATCAAACCTGTAACTAATCAAATCCTGACAAATTAACACTTGATAATCCATCTTGCCTTCATGTCTATTTAAACAGTAAACTAGCAATAAAGACTCAGGAACATACTATTGGTGGATGGTGACTAGCAGCGGAATCCAGGATAACACGCATTTCGTCCTATTCCGGACTCGTCAGTTGGATGTACCTCCATCCCACAGTGAGCGATGATGTTCCCACCAAGGCTCACATCCAGTGTCCATAGTTTCAAACGACAAAGCCTTATCCACCAGACCACTTGGGCCACGAGAACCACTCCACTTCTTGTGAAACGGGTCATAATAATTATTTAATTGAATTTTAGATTTTTCCGTTGAATGATTGGACAGAAGTGCTCGGTCCCGGTGGGAATATCATCACTCAATGGTTAATGCAGGTACATCCAGCTGACGAGTCCCAAATAGGACGAAATGCGTGTTGTCCTGGATTCCACTGCTAGTCACCATCCACAAATTAAATTCCAATAAAATACCCAGACATCGTCGAAGCATCTGCAAAAGAAGCTGACATGTCAACCTGAGATCGAGTACTTAGGTCCAATCAATCGATGGGAAATGTAAAATTCACTTAAAACTCAGCAACACAGCCTGAAAGTTTTTTGGCAAAGTTCAGCAATAGCGTCCCAAGTGATGCGAACGCACGAGTGACCTTCAGCCTGCCAATCATAAAAATGAGGAATTTATGCACAAAAAATGACGTATATTCACAAGAAAATGCATGAAATCACATTAAACAGATTATCTTCCTCTGACATGACTTAAAAATACGTCCCAGTTATGATGAAGATTATCAGTTGCTAAGTTTGACTAGTTTCTGTAGATGTATTCACCAAAGAAACTGAAGATTTGCTGTTTTGTGAATCGATCATCTCTCTTCTCTTGCTGTGCAGTCCTCTCCAAAGCCCTAGGTTTCAGTAAGAGGATCGACGACTACATACAAGGAAAATTTAGGATAATAAAACAAGTTGAAATAAATGAGAAATCTATTCCTAATCTTAACCCTAGCCTTAATCCTGACCCTAACCCTAAATTTCACACTAGCCCTAACCTTAATCCTAACCCTAATGACAACCCTTATCCTGCCGTAAACCTAACCCTAATCCCAATTATGACCGTAATCCTAACCCTAACCCCAATACTAGCCTTAACCCTAATCCTAACCCTAACGAGATGTTAACACATTATCCAAACAGTAATTAAAAGCGTGATCTGGGAGAAACTTGCTCCTTATTTGATGAATAGGGTTGATATTTCAGCAATGATAATGACAGATCCCGTTAGCCAACGACTAGCATGCGCTCAAGGCCATTTGGGCGTTCGCACTCCTGGGACGCTATTCTTGTACTTCGCCAGTTTTTTACCCTTATCACTTTTCATAGTAATACTTTGCCTGTTGGTTAAATATTTTGAGTAACAGAACTTGATGATTATCATCTTTATTTAATGACCAATGAATGGATCTATTGATCAAGGGGGGGGAGAGGAGTGAATTCATTTCAACTACAATGAAATCCAATGATTGTTAAAAAAGAGTAAGAAAAAGAAATTTGCATTGCCTTTGTTTTACCATCACAAAAAAATTATGCTCTCATATTGGTCACAACCAATATCTTTTAATCTCAGTAGTATGTGTGGGTGTCTTTTTGAAAACAGATTTGTCTCAAGGTTACACACACATGTCTAGCCAACAACCATCAACTAACTGACCAATAAGCAGCAAGTAACAAGGTCATTTATTAAAATTATTTATTTAATCGTTTAGAATGAATGAATGAATTGTTAATTTTCACACGTACAAAGGATATTTTCACATATTATAATGATGGAAGTTAGTATTAAGGAGAAAAGAATTGTTCTGTTACCTGTTGATGGCAGTGATCATTCTACACGAGCATTTCAATGGTATGTGGATAATTTAAAGAATGAAAAAGATGAATTACATTTTGTTTATATTATTGAACCAGCGTTTTCAACACCGACAATTGAACTTGCAACGGCTTCACCTCCAGTAACTAATATTATGCAATCAATGCAAGAGAGTATTCACCATGGAAAAAAGCTTTTACATACATATTTAACAGAAGCAAAAGCTGCGGGTATTACTTGTCATGCACATGCTCATATTGATACAAAACCTGGTCAAGCATTAGTTCGGATAGCTGAAGAATACAATGCAAAATTGATAGTAATGGGAACCCGGGGGTTAGGAATAATTCGTCGTACATTACTTGGCAGTGTTACAAATTATGTATTACATCATGTTAAAACTCCTTTGGTGATTGTACCTCCAGTGAAATCATGATCAATCTCAGTGTTAGTGTTTATCCTGACGTTGTGATGAAACTTTAATTTTCTATTGAAATGAACTACTTATTAAATATTATTAAATGCATGTAACCTTATCATATCTTGATAAAATTAACACTTGCATTTGTTTAATTTTCATCACTTTTGGTTCTACTGTTGTTTTTTCGTAACAGCGCTCCATTTAATCTGCACATCATATTCGAAATCAATCTGTTGAATACATAGATATTTCTAAGAATAATTCATCCGGAAGACAGTTTTTTCTCCGTTTGCGCTTGAATTCTGTTTAAGATATACACTGTGATGGTTAGTAGACCCGCATTTTGGGAAAAATATTTCTAAGCATACATCTATTGCCGACTGTTTGTCAGCCAGAGGTCTGAGTTCGATACCTGGCTATTCATCCCACTCCTAAACCACGCCTAGGCAGTAGTATGTTCTGGAAAAATGCGAGGTTGGTTGTGGGACTAGCAACAACACCACAACCAATGAAGCTTCAAAGCTTGAAGGTACATACTCCATTCGGAAAACAACGAATGAAAAAAATTCCAGAGTGGATGGTAGTGAATAGAGACGTTAACAAATAATAATGATATCAAGTATTGGTTTGTAGTGATTTGATTGATCGATTACAAGATTTCATCATTAGCTGACATTGGTTAGAGAACCATTGGAAAACCTGCACGGCTGTTTCGTCCTAGTTTGGGATTCTTCATCAGTACTCACCCAGAGTGCAGCAGGTCGGCTGTGAGGGCAAATATTCGCCGAAGACATTGGCTAGCGGTCGCGCTATGTCGTGCATTGGCAGAAGTTAGAATTTATGGGCTGGCCATTGGATCGGGGCCCAGTGGCTTAATGGTCTACGAGCTAGCCTTGTAACCAGAAGGTCCTGGGTACCGACACCAGTAAGTGCGTACTGTAGAACAGTCCCAAACTAGGATGAAAGAGCTTTCCAGAACTCATGGGTTTTTCAATGGTTCTCTAACTAATGTCAGCTCATAATGAAATCATAATGAAAAGGTCATTAGAGAAATAATCTTGACAGAAAGGTGAAAAATATTTCTAAAATCAGCTGATCTACATAGGGCTAGATATGAGTAGTATGAGGCAAATTAATAATATGCTATTGTTAGCTAGTAATTATAATAAAACTGTGCTTTATTTGTACTCACAAAGCAAATAAACAAATTAGTGAAGCTTGAACAATGTGGTAGTATGTAATTTCATATCAATTTGTTTATTAGATATATCACACAGTGAAACAGTATTATTTACTGGGTAATGTTTTGAACCCGATTAATTGTTCGGAATTATGTCAATTATACAGCTGGATAACTTTGAAAGTTCGTTTTCACAGATCACTTTCTCCCTTCCGATTTGTCGTAGTGGTAGTAGAGTTTTCTAGATGTATGGAACAAGTGTTGAACTATTCCTACTTTCTGTATTCACAATCGACTAGAAAAATAACTATTCAGTTATTCGTCGGATTTCCGAACATCACCCTGCTTAGTGATGGTTAAGTAAAGGAAAAACAAAATCTATTCGTAGTGCTACTGTATCCCATCTTGTGGATACAGAACACAAGATTGGTGTTAACCAGGCTTTCAGAATCATTTACCGAATACCAACTAATCTAAATTTCGCCTTAAGAGATCAATTACTAAAATTTGCTGAGTCCGTTGGGATCAGCATTAAGAAGCCCAATTTATGCGTCCAAAAGAAGCTAATTCAGACATTGTCCTTACCTTGGCCATCTAGGTTTGAATGATCCTGAATTTTTGTGAAATTTTCCTAATTTTAGTTTAGATTCTATTTGCTACTATATCTTTATTATTATTATTATTATTATTATAATTTAAGCATCTTTAGTGAACTGTATTTCTATTGATGTTACTTTACAAATCTATATTATTTAAAAAACACTAATATTATTTAATTGAATTTTAGATTTTCCCGTCGATTGATTGGACCTAAGTACTCGGTCTCAGGTTGACATGTCAGCTTCTTTTGCAGATGCTTCGACGATGTCTGGGTATTTAACTAGAATTTAATTTGTGGATGGTGACTAGCAGTGGAATCCAGGACAACGCGCATTTCGTCCTATTTGGGACTCGTCGGCTGGATGTACCTGCATTAACCATTGAGTGATGATGTTCCCACCGAGACCGAGCACTTCTGTCCAATCATTCAACGGAAAAATCTAAAATTCAATTAAATAATTATTATGACCCGTTTCACAAGAAGTGGGGTGGTTCTCGTGGCCCAAGTGGTCTGGTGGATAAGGCTTTGTCGTTTGAAACTATGGACACTGGATTCGAGCCTTGGTGGGAACATCATCACTCACTGTGGGATGGAGGTACATCCAACTGACGAGTCCGGAATAGGTTGAAATGTGTGTTATCCTGGATTCCGCTGCTAGTCACCATCCATCAATTAAAACACTAATATTGCTATTGACTAACATTGTAAAATATTCTTTGTATATATATATATATATATATATATATATATATATATATATATATAGAGCCAGAAGAGGAAATTATCGAAAAGGATATTCTTTGCTCAATTATTTTGTGTTTTATAGATGTCTGAATGAATATTTTTTAACTGTTCAGTTATCAATCTCTCCCTTCACCCTTTTAGATTATACTTGAAGACTGCCACCTAGTCCTATCCTATTGTATAGTTGTGCGTAACTGCATGTAGTGTTATAGTGGAGCTATTTTCTATATTTCTATTTCCTATTAGGGTCAGATAATCCAGAAACGTCATCAGGTATATAATACTGTCTGATCGTGCGGTGTATTCAATGAACAAATTCATATGAAATTACATCCTACCGCAGTGAACAAGTTTTACAGATATATTCATCAATAATAATAATTTTTCCTTCACGTTCCCAGTGGAACATAGGGCTCCAAGCTAGTGGCTTGAAGTTTCTGTAGCAGTGTTTAATTTTTACAGGATGGGGTCGCTAGCCTCATGCCCAACCTTTCCTCTTTACCAGCATTATTTCTAGCTCAGTGAGGTAAAGCAGTGCGCCGGCCGGGGATCGAACCCCGGACCATATGCATGGTCGGCGAGCCTGCTAACCGCTATACCACCGATATATTCACCAAGCTACATACTATTAATTACCTGATTAGATACCACTAACATAAACCAGTATTAGCCATATCAAAGTGATTTGAACGCTGGACGACTGTTGAATATTTCTCATCTTACTGACTATTTTTCTGATATGATCCAGTAGATATGTGTTCACTTTATTGAATTTTGATGTTCCGTAGACGTTAAACCAAATTTTATAAGAATCAGAAATACTAGATAGTTGGAGGCAATCTGTCACAAGAAGCCTTACGTAGACCTAGGTTTTGTGCTAGTTGGCACTCACTAGTCAACAAGGCGTATCTGCAACCTCGAAGGAACTCATCTCCCTTCTGAGATTCGAACCCACATCACCCAGTGCTGCAGTCAGAGACGTTACCACTGAGCTATTCGGACTCGCTATTGAGCTCCTTCAGGACTGTAGTGGGTATTTTGATTGGACACTAGTAACTAGTGTGCCATGTGTAGTCTTATCTTCGGTGCGGACTGAACTCTAACAGTCAGGTTTGCAATGTGACCAACATTCCAGGTAGCTCGCCATCAAGGTGCACATTGATTTGATGATATTAGACGGATTGGAGGCAGTAGGAAATCGACCTAAGTTTCGTGGTAGTTGGTGAGCTACGTAAAATGGTGGCCACATTGTAAACCTGACTCAGAGAATTCAGTCTGCACTAAAGAAAGGAGTAGACACGTCACACTAGTTACTAGTGTCCAATCAAAATCTGAAATACTGCTGGTCATGCTGTAGTTGGGAAGATTGAAAATTAACCTACAACAAGGCTTCTGCTTGATGTCACCATTTGCTTTATGTAACAAATAGTAAAATAATTTGCTGTTTGCTGTCATTGCTTAAAGTTTGATTAATGTGTTCAGAAAGAAGTAGTTTGAGGTCGTTCCTAGTCCTGATTAGCAGATATATTTACTCTCCCTTTTACTTGTTTAAATAATCTTTGACTTTAACCTCTCCCTCATTCCCCATAACCTAATTCTGTTTCTATGATTTGAGTTGAACTCACTACAATGTTACACTATTTGTTAGTTAATAATCATTCCATCCACCCCTTTTCGTTTGTACCAAACCTTTATTATGTTTTTATGAGTTTGCCCACGGATTGATATCATTTAGAGAACCACTGAAAATGGGGGGGGGGGTACTGGACAGCTATTTCATCCTAGTTTTCTGAGGAATCATCGGCAGTATGCACTCACTACCAGCGTTCGGACCAAAGATATACCGGTTACAAGGCTAGCGAGCTCGTAGACCATTCAGCCACTGGGACCCGATTCAATGGCCAGCTCATGAATTCTAACTTTTACCAATTAGTGATTTACCGCGACTGGCACCACCAACCAATGTCATCGGTGGGAAATCAATCCTCACACTTGACTGGTTGGACCTTACTGGTCACGACTTTTCACTAGAAATCCAGGAAACTCCATCCTGTAGCAAATCACTAACGAGCATTATTATGTGTTTTGTTTAAACTTGAACTTTATGTGTAAAAGTTACGAGTGTAATTTCTGAGCACTATTTAATTATTTTATAGTCCCCTGTTAACTGACATCCTGTCTGCCTTGTAAGTACGTTAAAATTGCTCTGTACGTAAACGTAATAAATCTTTCTTAGGAAGTACGCAGCTGATGAGAAGCTGATGAAATAAATAACGGCACCATCTTATTCTGCACAAACCATTGTCTGTAGTTTACCTAAATTCGTAAAACTAAATACGTGTATGAAGGATTTTATTGTCAATTTACATGAAAGTAACAGTAAATCTTATGTGAATAATAAACATGAATAATGCCTTTCTGCTTAAGTTTTTGTTTTTTGCTGTTATATTCACTGGCTACTTTGAAGATAAACCAACAGTTTATTGAAAA